CCCTGACATTCATAGCCGATACTTAAGGAATTAAAGTATAATAAAACAATCATATACCTTTGTTTTTCCCCGTCTTTTTAGCCTAACTATTTACGTAGGATTTAGTTTTGATACACAGTTATAGGTTTTTATATTTTCTTATTTGCTACTTTGTTCATTGTCCGAGCAGTTCTACTTTGTCCAAAGCATAGATGTTGACTTGTTTTGTAATCTCTTCATCTGAATTATGTATTGTTATGTGTGTATATGTGTTTACTCGATTTGAAAAGATCGAGCAAACAAAATATAATCGTCTATGCATCAGTCTACTTTCTGTTACTTATATGTGCAGGTTTATATAATGTAAACTTCTTTTTTTTATGAATAATGTCGTTTTTTGGAAAGATATACTTAGTATATGGAATAAAAGGTTGTTATTAATGATTGTCATTAGGCCGTTATTAAGGTTGTTTTGATGGATTATCATTTTTCTTTTATATTTAGTCTCCATGATTCTTTCACAGACAGAAAATGTTGAAAAATAAAACATGATATATTAAGAAAATACTCGGATCATTATTAAATAGTAATGAATAAATAATAAAAACATGACATTAGGATGATAATAATTAAAAGAACATTAATAATAGAAAAATAGACATAATATAATGACAAATTGTCTTCAAAACTCTTGATTTGCAATCCTACATATAAAAAACAATAATTAATAAGTTTACCAAACAAAACACACTATTTTAAAATTTTAAACTAATTAATATCATTTACTTCTTTCTGAACGCATCGAGTTCTGGCACATTATCAGGTTCAAATAATATTTTTGAAAACCCATCAATGTTTGAGATATTCTTCAATTTTCCTCGTCATGAATAAAGAAAAACGATATCAGTAATCTTCTAATATGATATAGAAAAACCATATCAGTAACAATACATTACCTACTCCCCAATTAATTTGCCAGAATTGTAAAACACAAAGTACAACATTCTCATCAATTGAATTCCATATGGTTTGGAAAACATGAGCAAGTGCTCCAAATGCAACACACTTAACGACAACGTTACTGTAAGCAATAAGCATCAAAATATTTCAGCAAATTTGTTACTAATAATATAGGAAGACTTTTTGCTTGCAAAAGTCGAAAACTTACTCCATGTTTTTTACAAAGAAACGTATTTTATGGTCAATGAATCCAGAGTTTTCGTGAGTAGGTTCTGTCGTATATTCTTCAAGAAATCCTACTCCTACTATAGCGCCATAAACATCTGCGTCATATTTTTAAACAAATTATTAGCAACATGTAAGTAATCAATAAATATTAACATACTAAACTGTAATTACAAACTTTAATACGACAAACATATTAGATACTATAGAAAAAATACCAATTGAAAATTTAGGATGGACTAAACCACGATAGAGATCGTCAAAGTCTGTAAATGAGAAATAGTTGCTCATAGAAAAGTTATTGATCTTTGAAATGACGGAGGAGCAATCGAGGTTAATATGGTGAGGGTTCTTTGTCAAACGAAGAGGCTCTGATGCAGGTGTGACTATGAATTGCTTAATTTTATAGCAGTGACATTCCTCCAACGGCATTTCAGTGGATGCATGTAAATCTCTCAAAAATGTTGCTTCAATGGTGTTTCCCTGTTGAATAGCAATAAAAAGTTGTTAGTAAATATGCGAAAAAAAAAACTAGATATATAATCATCGAATGTAACAATAAATAGCTCACTTTCTCATCTCCTATTATTAGCACCGATTTCTGGACTTCTGACAGAACCTGTGTTTTCCCCTTCCGAATAACCTTAACCCGTATTGGAAGCAAAGGTTTCGCAAAACTCAATTCTGCCAATGTCATATGACTACCCATTTCGAAGATTGCAAGATGTTTGTGTGAGATATAGGATTGTCGATGAGGTTTATAAGGTTTGAATGCATCTATATATAACAAAATGTAAGTCATTTCTGCAAGTGATTAAATATGTTTAATGGATCTTTTGCTCTCCATATTAAATTAGCATTTCCATATATACGGTATTGCAATTACTTAAGGGATATAATTCTTTAAATATTGAAGATTCTGCAATATTCTTGTGTTTAGTTATTCCTATTGTCTTCAACAATTCGAATATATAATTGGATGGTATTAATTGCCTTACGTATTGCTGAAGCAACAGAATATTCACTTCATTATCTACTATATTTCGTAATTGATATAGTTTGAACAGAGGTAATTAGTTATAAATTAACATATATTCGGCGAACATAATATTTGGAAACGAATATTGATTCATCTGAAGAAAAAGTTTTTTATTGATAATGCAAAGAAGGATATTATATCCATGGTTCCCATAAAATACAAACTGGTTTTCTTGATTAAATACTGTTCCTAAAAATGGCTATGGCTATCCCTTATTTTTAGTGAATCATAATCATAACGATAATCATAATATGTGAATCTGATTTTATAATATTGTAGTTATAAATGTTAGAATTTTATAATTTAGGGGGATTCGAAGTATTAATATTAAATAATTAACATTAGAAGTATTAACATTAAATAATTGAGGAAATTTATTAATCTTGTTATATTTAATATATATAGTTTTCAATATAGTTTAAGTTTATTTTCATACTGAAAGGATAATTATCAGATAAGCAATGGAATAAAACACAAGTTTGAATTTTAGACATCTAGTGTACATAAAATTAGGTCGAAAGCAGAGAAAATTAAAAATTTCAAGTCATTGAAAAAGTAATCTATGATAATCCCGTACAAATTGTTCTGATATCATAATAAGCAAAACTAAGATCATAACATAGAATCTAGGCTGTCATATTTACCTCATGTGTATTTGCGGCAGTTAAAAAATATGTTTGCAAATTTGATTAAAGTTTTAAGATCCTGAAGCATTTACAGCTGATGTGAATGTTGTCTTTATCTATGGAGATCGTACGTACGTGATTGTTGTCTCGCATGGCAATGTTGTCTTTATCTATGGAGATGGTAGCAACTTATTGTTTTTGATCAGTGTGTTATCACCTTTCACATCAGCTTTTTTCTCTAACTTGAAAGAACCTTTATTGAAAACCATTATTTTGGAAGAAAAACTATGTGACAACACATTGAACAACAATATTATCTTGTCTACTTCCAAAATATTTCTCCTAAATATTACCAACACATCGAACAACATTGATCTCTTCAAAAATTACATAGAATGATAGATTGAAACCTCGAGAATTATTTATCTTCTTCTTTCTTCAGTCCTCCTCTTTTTGTTTTTCCTTTTCAAGTAAGTGAGTTATGCAATAATAGATTGGATGAAACTTCCAATACAGCTGTATATATGCTTTTTATAATCCTTTTATATTTTCATATAATCTTCTACTCTTATTTATTTATGCAATCATCTATCATCTTCAAACTAATACTAAGCAGTAGAGTGAGAGTGTCGAAATAAAAACAAAACAAAATGAGTTCCGAAAACTCTGTCAAGAATTACAACTCCGCCGAGAGTGATGCCCCCTACACCAACAATACGAACGCGGACTCCAACGATGACGGGGATACTGGTGACTCGAACTTAGATCGCAGCCACTATTTCCGAACCATGAATCTCGGATACTTTGTTGCTGAGCCACGACTTATGCTCGAGGACCATGCAAAGTTAAAGGATCTTTGCTTAGAAAATCATAACCCCCAAGCTTTCTACATTGAAGGGTTATTACAATACTTTGTCCACAAGGCAGAACACAAAGGTCTTCGTCTTCTACGTCTAGCAGCCCTTGGAAACAATAAAAACGGTATGTATGTTTATGGTTTGTTAATGCTTGTCCGAGGTCACTATTTTAAAGGCTTCAAGTATTTGGATTCACTCAAATGGAGTGAGAAAATGTCGACCTCTGATAAATGACATGAAAGAGTTTTGTCATGTGTCACAATCTTGTTAATTAGTAAATTTGAAGAACCAAGTTGTATATAATAAAATATTAATTAAATATTATTTGGTGAGTTTCTCGAGATACATGCAAAATAATTAATTAAGATTCTGATATGTGCATGAGCTGGCAGGATCATGTGATTAGGAAAATATAAGTACTACTTATATCGACCAAGAATGTATAGAAAATCTATCTTATTAAAGTTGTAGTACTCTTTAGGTTTGTTTGGAAACTTAAATAGTAGTAATATAGAGTTTAATGTTGTTTGGCTATAAGTTTAATAGAGTTGGGCTTTTAAACATTGTTATAATAGAATTGGGCTTTTGTTTAATTTATTTTATGTTATGGTTGGCTTTAATCATTTGGCCCATTGTAGTAATTTGTGTATTTAGTTTATATTTTATATAAAGACCATATTCAATTTTATTTATTGTTGACTAAATTAAAAATAACATCAGTTTTTAAGATAATAACAATTTACATTTCAAATAATTTAATACTCAAATATATTTTATCTAAAGTATTTTACATTATTCAAATTATTATAAAGACACAAAATATTTGAATAGTTTTAACTAAAATATTAAAATTTTGTTTTCGTAACTGGATATTTATCCGAAACACCTATCCCCCTCCCCAAAATCAGTTTTACCCCGATTAATCTAAAATTCATCCTAGAAATCATAACCAAACCGTTATCATATTGGAACCAAAAATTTATCTGATATTAGTCGGTTATTATAATTATTACCAAACTCAGCTCAAACCAAACGAATCGAACCGGATGCAAATCAATTTATATAGATAACAGAACAGATCTTATATCTGTAGAATTAAAAAAAAACTACGAACATAAAGAATCCAACAAAAATTGAACCCAAAATCAAACCCCAGTCCTATTACATTCAATAGGATCATAGTTTTTGATATACGGTAATAACCGATGACTTATGAATATATTATACTTTTCCAAATTAAGTTAAACCCGCGCCGGTGCGCGGGTCAAGATCTAGTTTAATTTAAATCTCAGGAGGTGAGGTATTCTGAATCTAATGGCTACGAAGGTGTTGATGACATCCAACGGGGACAAGGTTTCCCGGAACATCGCTATCCAGCTAGCCAAACACGGTTGAAGGTGAGTTTCCAGTGGCCTTGCTCCTCCTCTTAGTTTAGTTACAAGCAAGGTTAATGGAATATATATCAGGTTGGTTTTGTTGGGAGATGAGGCTTCTCTAAGGAGCATTGTGGACCACATACGAGTGTCTGTAGATGGAGCCTTCCCAGTGTTGCTCATTGGAGTCGACATGGAAGATGATAGTGAGGAAGCTTTCTATGTTGCTGTCCAAAAGGCATGGACTTGTCTGGGCTCTTTGGATGCTTTTATCAATTGCTATACCTACCAAGGAAAGATGCAGGATATTCTTCAAGTCCCTGAAGGTGAATTCAAGAAAATCACAAAGATCAATCTCACAGCTCCATGGTATCTCTTGAAGGCTGTGGCAAGTACGATGAAGGAGCATGGAACAGGAGGATCCATTGTCTTTTTGGCCACGATCGCTAGTGGGGAGAGAGGACTTTACCCTGGAGCTTATGCCTATGCTACAGCTGCAGCTGGAATTCACCAGCTGGTTCGGGTATACATCTTTTTACATTTCCTAATCTGCAAGGCTGGTCATGTTATAGACAATTTAGTTCAAGTTTTAATAAAAGTCTTTTTCCCAAGTTTAGAATTTATGTTAGGGAAAAATTCTAGAATGACTCTAATTAATGGTGTTATTACTAGAATGACTCATATTTTTTCAAAATTATTAGAATATTTTTCTGGTCGATATTGCCCCTGGCTGTAGTTATACCAAAAAAAATAATTACCAAAGTGCCCTTCAAATTAGGTCGTCTGCAGATTTATTTTTGGAAAAATAAATCTATCACATATTAAGTCTGTTTTCTAAATCGGATAAGAAAATATAATCTATCATAAAAGTGGTGGCAGATTTTCTTTAAAACGTCAGATTTCTTCCTACGGTAGACTTATTTGTCCAATTTGTATTGAAAACCGATTTTTTGAAACATATCTGTCAGATGACACAACAGATTTGTTATAAATGATAGATTTTTGCGATTGACATAGTTTCTTATGGCAGATATATATAACCGATTTACATATGCGGTAGACTTGTTGACTTACGAGGTGGCAGACTTTTTAGTTTATGAAGGGGCAGATTTGTTGAGTTAATTATGAGTTTTAGTAAACCAAACTAAATTATTTCGGATTTAAACTTGGTTTACTGTAATTCCGAGTTTGGTTTATTTCTAGTGGATTAAGACAACAATTCCGAATGCGTTCAGGAGTTACAGTTTCAATTGTCTTCTGGCTCTTTGAGCCTAAAGCTCAAATACTAAACAATGGGGTCTAGTTTTAAGTTGGCTTAGCTATGATTCAATCACATTCTCTATCAAGTACTTCCCACTTAAGATTATGTTGAACCAAACCACAGCCAAAAAGACCAACTTGTAGCCACATTTCAAAATTCTGATTCTCTCGGTTGACAATACACATTGCTACCGAGATTTAATCTGAAAAAGAAATCAAAATATTATTGTTCTTCAAATTTAAAACCAATGGAAACAAAGATTGAACCAAGCGAAATTCGCTTAACATATCTAACCGAAAACAGTGAATGTAAATAACAAAGATTGAAAACAACACACAAGTCCACATATCAGCTATTCCTCTTGTCTCAACATGTTTGTTCAGGTTAAGCAAGAAGGCTTTGGTTAGGGATTTTAAATTGCTGTCTCTTGTTCAGTTTTGTCTATTAGTTTCAGACTTTCTATAGCTAGAAGCTTATAGACTAATTCACCTAGGTTCTTAGAGGTATTTTAAAACTTATTGCGACCTCTTAGAATCCGAATGGCTGTTATAGCAGACCTTGGTTTCAATTCATCTTGTATCCGAACCTTCATTCTTTTCGAAGTAATGACATTTACAATTTAGCAAAAAAAAAAAAAAAGAGGTTTTATTAATTTTTGTTGGCAATGAAAAGTCCCCACTTCTGCTCACCCGAAACACTTCTCTCCAGCTTCGCCTTCCATCCTCCAACAATGTCCTCGTAGTCCTCCTGCGTTTATTATATAAGCTTCCTGAGATTATGCTGCTGTTGGTACATACTGCACCGTCTTTGTGCCCATGTAGCTGCTCGAGAGCGGCTCTTGAAGGTTGCTCAATTGAGGAGGATATGCAGGTACATAACCAGCATCTACTCAAGCATATCCTCTGAAACCGAAACCGGTTCCTTGTGGTTACTGATGAAATCCTACACAAAGGTATAACGACAAATACGGTTATATACAATGCCATTTTACACAAACGTATATATGTGATGGAATGTGAACTTACTTGAATTAGTTGCTGAGCAGTTTGTACCTGAGAAAGGTGCCTTTGATTTCCACTGTGATTTGATCAGGATGTGGACTCTCTTGAATTGTAATGGTGGCTCCACTTCTTCTACGGATGTAGGCTATATGAGCTCCTTCTAAACCAGTGATATCTTCCGCATAGGAGAACTGTATTTGCATTGCGATACCTGGCAAGAAAAACCCATAACGGAAACGTCTTTACTAGTTCCAACTCCAAGAGATTAACTTAGATGCAATAAGATCAAAGACACAAGTAGAAGACTGTATCCAATGGAAACTACATGTGTAACAAAAGCTGCAGAAACTCGAGCATGGTCCTGACTGTAGATAGACTCCCGAAGGCTGAACACGTGACTCCAGAAACAGAGGTTCTCTCCTTCTAAGACTAGAACTTTGCAGATTAGAAAGAAAAAAAAATTGGAAGTAGAGAAATCGAATACACCACTTTGATGTTTTAGTTTTCAGTCATACTAACATACTGAGTTCATAGAGAAAGAGAGAAAATCCAAATCAGTTTTTGAAATTGGGAATTAGGGATTTCAAATTGGGAATTAACAAAGAACTTCGAATAGCCTAGATTATATCTTACAGATTCAAGTAACTCGATTTAGGGTGACCAAAGTGGAACCGGCTTCTTCTTCCTCGAGGATGACATAGACGAACTCGATTTAGGGTGGAGAACAACAGAGACGACGAATGTTCACGGTGGAATGGTTGTCGGAGATAAAGGACGGAAACCAAGCCGGCTGTGACAGAAAATGGACCGTCGCAGATGGATGAGATGGAGACGGCGAGGAGAGGGATGAACTCGACGAAGAAACCCGACAAAATTAATTCTGATTTTTTTTCCTATCGTATAAAATTAAAATGTATTTCTTTCTTAAATTATTAATAATGGTAAAATCGTAAAATTACACGTTTCAGAAGTCATTCTAGTTATTTCAAAATTATATGAGTTAGTTTAGTCATTTCATGATTAATTAGAGTTATTTCAAGTAATTTCTCTTTATGTTATGTAAATTATTTCTTAAATTTTATAAATTTTAGAAGGGAAGTTTACTAATATGACTCAAATTAATCTAGTAATTACTAGAATAACTCATAAAAGTTTAAAATTACTAACTTTTTTTTATTGACCAAAGTGCCCTTGTTTATAGTTGTGACTAAAAAGTAATATTACAAAAGTGCCATTTATATTTTGAAAAAATCGTCGATGGCAGATTTATTTATGGAAAAAACAAATATATCGGTATATAAATCTGTTAATTTAAACTGTTGTTAAATTTAAATCTGTCAAGTACTTGGTGGTAGATTTTAGATTCACGGCAGATAGTTTTGAGGTGGCCAGTTTCTCTCGCTGATTTATGGTTGTCAACAGATTTATATGTTTTAGTCTGCCGACTGGTGTAGCCATTTTTTTAAAAATTTCAGTTTTCTTTTGGATAGATTAGATTTTTAAGGCCAATTTAAATTTACGTAGGACCGACTTTAAATGGATAATAGACATAAATATTAATGGCCGATTTGTTTAGCCGATTTATATTCGTAGTCGACTTTTGTATTCATTTGGTGGTAGACTTTTTAAATTTTCATCTTTGACGGCAGACTTGTAATTTAATTTTAATTACTAGATTGGGCCATACTTATTATACCAAACATATCCACTCGAATTTTTGGTTAATTTCTCATAAATTTTGGTTTACTTTGTATTGATTCTGGTTTAGATTAATTTTGGTTTAATTAATTTTTAAATTTGGTTTAAATCAATTTAACCTTTCGGTTTAACAATTTTTGGTTTAACTTAAGTCACATACCACGTTAAAAAGTTAGAGCTTGCCTTCTCTTTTTGTCGTCTTCTTTCTGTTGCCTCTCACACAAGAACACGTGTTCCTGGTTCATGGTGATTTAAGCCATATTGATTGGAGGATAATGAATCACATAATTCTCATCTCTGGGAAATGAAAAGTTGAGAAAACAAAGTAGTTATTTGAAGTAGATAATGAGAGAAGTAGCATATTAGTTACTGCGAATGAAGAGATTCAATTTCAAGATTTTGTGAAACTCATTTTTTGAGGATTACGTAGTTGATTTTGCAGAAAACTATTTGGAACTGAGGTATATTTTTCCGAAAACTATTTGGGAGACATCTCATCATCACCCTTCAAGGCTTAAAGTAAATTAGTAAAAAATATCAGAGAAGTATGAGACAGTTTCTCCGGCACATTCTTCTCTTTATCATATTATTATGGCTTTAGTAGCAAAAATCATTACACGATTGTACATTCTAGCAGAAAAAGAACAAAATGTATAACATTACATCTCTGTATATTATTAGTATTATTGTTTGAGACCTGTTATAAGGAGTTTCATAAAGTACAAAATGTAAATCACTTCCAGTTGTTGGAAACAATGTCAGCTAAATCAACAACTCTCTGTGACTAACCCCATTCATTATCATACCATACAATCACCTTAACCATATCATCTCCCATAACCATAGTGAGTGTAGAATCAATGGGGGACGACACATCCGAGCATCTGAAATCAACTGACACAGGAGGCTCATCGCAGACTTTGATGATACCTTTAAGCTCTTTCTCTGTGGAGTCTGTGAAAGCAGTGTTAACTTCCTCTGCAAAAATCTTTTTGGTGACCTGCAGACTGAGATCAACCACACACGTTTGGTGTCAGTACACAGTACACGGAGAGCGATCCGGTTGAGTTTTCCTTTGAGGTTAGGGAGAATGAGAACCACTGCTTTAGCTGCTCATGTAGATGTTGGAAAATCTCCACAAGGCATAGACATGTTGAGGCAATGCGTAATCTATCGAGACTAAAAGACCAACCAATACTTGCTCCACATCTTCACCTCCATCCAGAACCTCTAATCTTCCTGTTTACACACGTATTGTTGTACATCAGAGATTCTTAAGAAAGAGCAAACTCAAAAAAACCAGTAACTGATTTGGTTTATTTGTTCGACTAACCAGGAAAATACAGAGGATGATGAGGCCACTCTGTTGAAAGTCCAAGCACTTGCCTGACCTGAAGGAGGCACATATGAATACAGAGTAATTAAGTGAATATTTGCATATTGTACAGAGCTTAATGCAAGGTATCATTATACAAACTCATAAAGATCAGACTAACCTTTCCTGGTCCATTTAGAAGAACGGGTTTTGTGGGATGATGCTTCTTATGGTCTCTAGCCCTGCAAAACACTTGTTGCCGACCAAACTCAAATCTGTAATCTTATTTACTCAAAGCACGGTACTTTCACTAATGGAACACAAGCAAGAAATAAAAACTGAAAATTGGATTGAATTATGACTTACATGTTATTTTCTTTGATTGAATCGGATTTAGGGTTCTTCTTCGATGACAGAGACGACGGAAATTTTGGGTGGGGATGACAGAAAGGAAGGAGGCTGTGAGGAGGAGAAGTCGACGGAGACGGAAGTGAAGAGAAGCAGCAGCCTTCGTCGCTTTCAAAAGAGAGAGATATCGAAAAGGAAGATTTTTTCTAGAAAAAAAAATTACCTAATAACTTATTTTAATGATATACTTATCAAAAATTAAAAAGGACTTTTTAGTACTTTCATAAATTCAATGAGTTATTCTAGTTATTACAAAAGTTTATGAGTTATTCTAGTAATTTCATATATGATTTGAGTCATTATAAGTAATTTATCATTTTAGAACTATAGACAAATCTTTCGCTTGGGCCCTCATAATATAGAGATTAAACTTGACTTATGTTTTATTTATTAATATTTATTTGTGGGGGGGGTTTCAGGCATCAGCCATGAGTCTAGGGAAGCACAGGATACGGGTCAACATGATCTCTAGAGGTCTGCATCTTGGCGATGAATATCCAGTTTCAGTGGGGATAGATCGAGCGGAGAAGCTGGTGAAGGACGCTGCTCCGCTTGGCCAGTGGCTGAACCCAGAGAAAGATATATATTCAACTGTGATTTACCTGATCAGTGACGGTTCATGCTTCATGACAGGTACCACTGTGATGGTGGATGGAGCGCAGTCTCTTATGAGACCACGTCTCAAATCCTACATGTGATTTGGTTTATATAAAAATGCTTGTAATTGTCTTATTACTTTCTTGAAAATTGAACGGATCAAAGCTTGAATAAGTACTCCTGGAGGGAGGATGAGAATGAATTTAATTCCATGCCAAACAATGATAATATGCTTTTGACAAAATATGTAACAAGCTAGGCAAGTCAACGATCTCAACTTCATTTGAGAGCCCTCTTTTCTTTAAGTTTTTGAATGAATACTTATTGTCTTGTTAGATAAAATCAACTTCGGTAGCCACGCGTGATAGGTTTCATTTTCTTATCAAACAACACATGCATATGCAGTTGCGTCTGTTCAGAGATTGAACAAGGTAATAATTATATTGTTAGAGATCTTCTAGATGCTACCTTGATATGCTTATAATACCATTACCCATTCAGATTGTTCAGTCATTCTCTGGTTTACTTCTATTTGCCATTGGCTTGGTACTGTTCATGGTGTCTTTGCTGAAAGACATAGTTCTTTCATAGCTTTTTTGCTGGAGCAGAGTGATTCTCTATCTGTTAATGGCTTTGCGGACAGTTTGTTGTGAATGGAAAGTGGCCTAAACAAGCTCTTGGAGACATTGCGACCACGGCTGTAATATTAGCAGTATAAGTTTAGCTATAGGTAAGTTAGTTGTAACTATCAAATTGTTACTGTAAGAGCTGATAGTTTAATTTGTTGTAGCTCTAAACTATAGATTGCAGATATTAGAATAAAATATGTGAAATATGCGATGTATATAAAAATAATGATTTTTACCAATTAAAATCATTTATATTAATATATTTTTATAGATTATTAAAGTTTATTATTATTTAAAATATGATATGTAAATAAGGTTTATATTATTTAAAAATACTTCAATAGAGGCGTTTTAGAGTATTTACAAGTTCAAGTACGTCCAATACCACCGGTTTGAGGTCAATCATCATCATGTATCAGAAGTTATGCCCGTTTTACTAAAGGGTCGCTAGTTTCTCTCGCGAGAGGAAGCTGTCGAGAAGATAAAGGAAAATCGATCGATGCAGCACCCTTTGTATCGATCGATATTGATCCCAAAACGCGGGCCAAGTATATTTCAAGACCGACTTAAGCTTAGAAGAAACCCAGATTACCAAGATACCCTTGGACGACCATAAACCCTATTTATGTATTTTTTAAGCCATTGTTGATGGCTAAACTTTATTTACTTTAATCTTGTTCTTAGTTCTAGGAGAGAAGGGAGGAACTCCATCAGAGTCCTCCTGGAACTCCTTTGGTTCTTTGGTTTTTATATTTATATATCTATTTTATATCTATTCTTTCTATGATTTATGTGACAAACTTCATGTTTGAATAGATCCACCTGTTAGGTTTAGGGTTCAAATAGGTTATATGAATTATCCCTTACTATAGGATCGCTTGCTGTGGTATTTATTAATAGGATTTTCTTAATGCCTATGTTCTAAACTTTCTAAGTAGAAACCTGAACCTAGGAGTTTTAGATTGTTTAAGCAACTTTTAGACAATTCTAATTATCCTAAATCCATTCTATTAAGCTAGGATTTGCTAAAAATATAGTGAGAGCTTGATCTAGGGATCTATAGTGAGCATATATTAACTCGCGCATAAAGCTTAACTAGCCGCGTCGATCGATATTTCTATCAGAAATCGATCGACATCGTGAGAAGTGAATCGATCGATATTCATATAGAATAATTGATCGACACTGCTATTGATCGAACACACTTGTTTAGGTCAATAGATCTAGTTAATAGGCTTATTTAGTAAGCGAGATTCCAATGAATTAGTTATTTAGTGGTTAAGATCTTCAATACCATGCATACAACTAATTAGCACCCATAGGATTATAGTCTCCAACACTTGAATAAAAACTCTAAATCTAGCAACCACCCTTCCATCAAAAACATCTCGGTTACATAAGAACAACTACCTTGTTCGACCCAATTTAATTTATTTACTGTTTTATAATTATTTAGTGCTTTATTGTTTATTAACCTAGCTTAATCGTATAACTATTAGATCTAATTGGTTCCTTAGCTCCTTGTGGAATCGATCCCTAAATACTACAGCTGAACCTCTTATTTGAGAGAGAGTAAAATCACTCCTTAGGATAATTTGAGTGATATCAGCCTTCTTGTCATTCTCCTACTCCTCAATGATCTTAGCCATATCCATGATCTCGTCCATTCCCATCGGTTTAAGACGAGCCACTTGTTTTCTCATCTTCAATCATGAAGGAATATTTCCTCCAAAACATCATTAGTCACAGAGTTGAAATCAAGCTTAGGAACCATGGTTAGGCTCTAATACCAATGATAAGCTTACGCTTATCTCAACAGAATTAAAGATAAGATATAGAAAGAATAGAGAGTTAAGATAAAGTTTTGCTTAATTGATCATTTGATATCCTAAATGTATACAACTCGAAACTAAATAGGAGTACTTCATTAACAAAACAACATAGTTTAATGTAAAGATATTATTATGACTCTTTGAATCTTTCTCTTTGACCAGAGTCTCTCATTTCCACTCAACTCTCCACACTAGCGACTTCTAACTCCTCTTTTCGATTTACTAGAAGCATAGCCTCCGCACAAGCGCGGAGCCGGGTACATTTTTGTTGTTAGTGCGTTGTGTAATTGTGTGTAAGGCATTTTGCTGTTTGTTTTTATTTAATTTTTTTTTTCATGTTGTTTATAATGGTGATGAATGGAACATTGGAAATCACACAACTTGATTAGGTCGATATAATAATGGCTGGCGAATTCACATATATTGATATTTTCATATTTTGTTTTCGCAATGGTTTGATTTTTCAAAAGCTGAAGTTTATTGGGTTGGTTAGTGTTTACTTAGGCACAATAGAATTCTATAAATTAATAATGTTGGGATTTTAAAATTTTATTAAATTTTATAAAGACATTAATTTATAAAAAAATTTCTTATTTTAAGATATATTTATTCTTAGATAGAAAAATATTTGATTTTATTGTACCGACATTAATTATTATATTTTCAAATTTGATATTTATATTAATTTTATTATATTATTTGATGTATATAACAATGCATAAAATTTAAATGTGGTTTTAGATATAATATTACTAAACCTCATCAAAAAATATATTAAGTGTTCAAAATATAAGTATAATTCTACTGGGAATATAAAAAACAATATAATGATAGATTCTTACTTATATAAAAGATGTATACATACATGTATAAGTCTTCACAGCCTCTGCCTATTATAGATTTGATGAAGCTTATTGTATATTTTTATTAAAAATATATATTTTATTATTTCTTAGTTTTATTTTATTAAAAATAAATGACTATACATATATAACATGTTAAAAAAAATTTTATTATAACTTTTGATGAACCATATTTATTCACCAAAAGTATTTATCATACATCAAAACAAACTTTGAAGATATGAAAATCAGATATGTATCTACAATTAATTTGTTTATAATATAAAATGAGAATACTATTTATATTTTTTAAAATTAACTTTGTGTAAACTTAAATGATTTAGAGTTAAAATATCTATATATATATAAGTTGATTGAGAGCCAACACTAGCATTTGCAGACTTATTCATCTATGTTGGTTACAGTGTTCCTCTTTTTCTTCAACTATAACAACTAACGACTTTGAATGTCAAAACTTACTGAGACCATTGTACTTTTGATAATTACATAGTTTTGGAAAAGGTTATAAATTAATCGTTTGAAAATGTATGGATATGTTTGCTGAAGTTGATTGATGGGGTCCAGTAGTTAAGTACTAACACAACACCACTTCCAAAATTATTCTATAAATTTCGAACCCACTCTAAAAGAAATAAACAATCTCCATCTCTCATATACCAAATTTCACTACATAACAGTGAGCATAACGAAAAATGGAGCATAAGAGATCACTGTATTTATCCAACAGAGACTAAATCTTTACCATGTTAATATCTCATAAAGAAAAAGGAAGAAAAAAAATGTGATTTACATCAATCTTAAGCTTCCAAAATTACTCTGCAACTAATACTATTCCGAAAGAGTAACAATCTTTGTCTATCATTCACTACATAATATCAAAAAACATTGAAAGATTTACAGACTTAAGTTCCATCACTCATACCTGACATCGAAATCAAGCAACTGCATACGAAATCATCCCAGCTTTCCTAGCATTAGCAAAAATCCCACACATCAATCACAGGCCCAACGTCACCAATAGTCTTAAAATTGTACTCTTTCTCCGTCGTATGATTAACCAAAACACGTCCCCTTCCCTCAACTCCACTGTCGCGACATCCTCCGTCCTAGACTCATCACAAACCCTAACCTCTGAATCAAGCGGATAAATCTTCCCAATAACCACCGAGTTACTAAAAAAGATCCTCGCGTCACTTTGCGCCACCACCACCTTCGCCCATGCCACTCCCAAACACACTAGCGCGATCCTTGACGCTATGCAAGCTATCATTCAACTTGTTTTCAAGCGAAATAAGATTCAAAAAATTCATAAGGTCAAGCTCCGTACCCTTCAGTCTCCTAAGAACAATGAAGCAAAAAATGAAAGATCGAAGCTTTAACACAAGATCAAACACAAGTTTCTTACACAATTGCAAGCTGTAATCTCTCAAGTTCGCTCCTCAAAGATTCATTTGTCCGCACTTCAACAACAAAGTCCATGTGAGTAAAAGAGATAAGAAACATTTATGGTAGAAAGGATCACTGCTTATAGATAATAGATACACATACCACATCACCATTATTCTGAGTATAACAAAGTATAAGTTGTTCAGCTGTAGCAGCACTATATCCATCGTTCATATTTATAGATTTGTGACGAAGGAAATGGAGACGTCGACATAGAATCTGGATCCAATGTGAATAACAATTATGGCAGAATTAAAAAAAAATACATTGAATCATAGGAAAGGTGAAGAGATAATGAAAGGGAGGCGAAGAGATGATTGTATGAAAAATGGAGACGATGAGCTTGAATTTTGAAAGAGAGGATAAGATGGAAGCCCTTAGAGGGTGATGATTAACCGCAGAGTGGTCCACAGTCTTTACAAAATGCATAGGTGGATATTGAGAAGCTCATTAAGGAATAGAACATAAATCAAATAGAAACCCACTTGAGATAGAAAAAAAAATTTGTCCGCTCCTCAAAGATTCATTTGTCCGCTCCTCAAAGATTCATTTGTCCGCACTTCAACAACAAAGTCCATGTGAGTAAAAGAGATAAGAAACATTTATGGTAGAAAGGATCACTGCTTATAGATAATAGATACACATACCACATCACCATTATTCTGAGTATAACAAAGTATAAGTTGTTCAGCTGTAGCAGCACTATATCCATCGTTCATATTTATAGATTTGTGACGAAGGAAATGGAGACGTCGACATAGAATCTGGATCCAATGTGAATAACAATTATGGCAGAATTAAAAAAAAATACATTGAATCATAGGAAAGGTGAAGAGATAATGAAAGGGAGGCGAAGAGATGATTGTATGAAAAATGGAGACGATGAGCTTGACTTTTGAAAGAGAGGATAAGATGGAAGCCCTTAGAGGGTGATGATTAACCGCAGAGTGGTCCACAGTCTTTACAAAATGCATAGGTGGATATTGAGAAGCTCATTAAGGAATAGAACATAAATCAAATAGAAACCCACTTGAGATAGAAAAAAAAATTTAAAAATAGGTGAAACCCATATAGCTACTGACGTGGATCTCCTGAAGACTGATTTCAAGAAAGAAAGAAAGAAAGACTTGTTTTATAGAGATAAAACATGTAAGTTGTAGGATTCGAACCCACGTTGTTGCAAACGAAACACTACACCTTAAACCACTCGATCAAATTGTAATTCGTTGTTTGTAAACATTTTATTAAGACTATGAATTTTTAAAAACAAAATTACTGATGTGGCGCTCTAAGGAACCTAGAAACTGTACTATTATATATATATATATAAGATTTTAGTTATTAAAATATGCAATTTTAATTTGAATAACTTATCACTATTTTTAAATATTAAATTGTGTATATATAGTATTTTTCAAATCATCCATTTCTAATATATTCAACTTCCTAGTTGATTTTCTTAAATATTTTTCAAGTCATATTCTAACTACTTATTTATTTTATACTTTTATCACATAAAAATTTAATATCGTTACTGTTGGTGTAATCTTGTGTAATCCTTGTTGAAGATTATCTTTTATCTTGTCATTGATTTGCTAGGATTGATCCGTGAATATCAGAGATGAAAAAGAAAATATATAAACCGTAAGTTCCCAGCCGTTAGTTTAAATCAGTTCTCATATCCAATGGCAGTAAATTTCTGCATATTGCCATCATAGCGCATCAACACCGTCAATTATGACACGACAGCAATTAATTAAAAAAACAATTAAGGAATTGGTACAAAAGTTAACAAAAAAAAAAAAGAATTGGTTAACAAAAAAAAAGTATTCAAAGTTATCGAGAAAAAGGAAGAGTAATTCACTCTGTTTATATTACTACGGCGAGAATGTGAAGAGACCCACAGATCATATCTTTAATCTTCCCCTATAATCCCGACAATAAAATCTCTTTCTTTTCTTCTTTTTAGTTGCGAAACAGAAAGAATCAATCTTCCTCGGAAATTTCGTTGATGGATCCCGACGTGGTGGAGATCGCTCCTCCTCTCTCAGCTTCGGCTTCTAGAACTCGTAAACCCAGAAAGGTTCCATCTTTCGTGTTCTTAGCTCTCTATTATTAATGGGTTTTTCTGGAAGAGAAAAGGGTTTGTAACTGTGCTCACTCAATTTTACTGATTTACCTGCAAAAAAGTGAACTTTTTTACTCTTAAGGCTTCGTTCATGCGTGATGATCATCTAGGTTTTTAGGGTTTATGTGGGTTTAGTTTAATTTTGAAGTATGTTTTCTCTCGGCTGTACTGATTGTGTTCTTACAGTGTCCTGAGCTGTAATAGATGCGTGATGATCGTTTGGGTTGTCTCTGTGTGTTTAAGGTTTATGTGGGTTTTGTTTATGTTGTGTCACTTTTAATTTGTTTTTTTAATTTGGTTGCATAGTTTGCTACTTTATCTCGTTTATTTAGATTAATCTTGAATTCTGTATTGTTTCTCTTTGCCTTTTTGATTGATTATGTTCTTACAGTTTCTTGAGCTGTAATAGATTCTTTTTTTTTAGTTTATGTTGTGCCACTTTTTTTCTCTGTTTTATTTTGATTTGTAAAGGTTGCTGCTTTATCTTGTTGTAGGCTGTAGTTCCTGAAGTGATTGATGTGGAGCAATATCATGAAGATAAGATGAACAAAGGGAAGGCTACACAAGATGGGCATAACCCATTTAGTCATGTAGCTAATGGAGTGATGCCTATGGATGTTGATGGCTACACAATGGTTCTAAATGATATCCCAACTGGTGTAAAAGTGGTGATGTCTACTTCTCAACCACCTTCTGGATTTCAGAATTATAGTAGCAAAGGAACTTCTAAATCAAGTAGAAGCAGTCCTTCTGTCTCCTTCTCTCAAAACAATCAAACTATGTGTTCTTCTTCTACAATGATTCAACCTCAGACTCCTAATGTAGTGAGGGAGCCATCTCCTTCTTCAAGACCTGTTAACTGTGATGCTTCTGCTAGCTCTTCTTCTGAGGCTGTTCCTTCAGCTCAGGCTAACTTTCTGCGGGACTTTAAAAGGTTTGATACTGTTGAGGATTTCTCAGATCATCACTATGTTTCAAAAGGGAAAACTTCAAAACAGGTGATTGTTACAATCTTATCATCTGAAGGGATTTTTTCTTTAATAACTCAACTTTTTGATGTCTTTCTTTTATCTTAACAGCACTCAAAGACTTGGTTGAAGAAGGTTCAAGAAGATTGGAAGATTCTTGAGAATGATTTGCCTGGTTGGTGTATATACTAATGGACATCAATACTTGTTCTCTATTTGTTCTTAAAGCTAGATTCTTTTTGCAAACAGATACAATATTTGTCAGAGCCTGTGAATCAAGAATGGATCTTATGAGAGCTGTAATCATTGGAGCTGAGGGGACTCCTTACCATGACGGTCTTTTCTTTTTCGATATTCAGTTCCCAGATACCTATCCTTCAGTGCCACCCGTATGTCTTCAATAACTTCCTTAATGTGTGTTCTGTTTTTCAAGATGGTTACTAGTTTCATTTTTTGATGACAGAAAGTTCATTACCATTCCGGTGGGCTTAGAATCAACCCTAACTTATACAACTGTGGTAAAGTATGCTTGAGTCTTCTTGGTACATGGACCGGTAACAAGAGGGAGAAATGGCTACCACAAGAATCCACAATGTTACAGCTTCTCGTCTCAATCCAAGCACTCATCTTGAATCAAAAACCATACTTTAACGAACCTGGCTACGAGTCCACCAAGGGGACTCAATCAGGAGAAGCTCACTCCAAAGTTTACAGTGAGAACGTATTCATATTGTCGTTAAAGACTATGGTTTACAGCATGAGAAAACCACCAAAGGTAAATTATTTAATCAAAAGCGTTTCTTGGTTTCTTGAAGAGTGTTAATAATAGTTATGATGAATGTGCAGCACTTTGAAGAGTTTGTTAATAGCCATTACTTTGTGAGGGCACTTGACATAGTGAAAGCTTGCAATGCTTATAAAGATGGAGCTCCTGTTGGTTCCATTGTTAAAGATGGGATTCAAGACATTGAGCAAACTAACCAGAGTGGCTCTAAGAAGTTTAGGACCGATGTGGCTGCCTTTGTGAAGACAGTTGTTGGTGAGTTTGTTAAGTTAGGAGTCAAGGAGCTTGAAGAAAAACCTAAACCACCGCCTGTGGTTATTGCTAACACTGAGAGTAATACAGCCAACCGTAAGAGAAGCAGATCGTCCAGGTAAAAAGCCAAATCCACCACTTTGTTTCATGTTTTTAAAATTCCCTTTTTCCTAAATTATGACAATTTATACTAATATATTTCGTTTTAGAAAATTTCTTTTTTTATTTCAAAATATAATTTATTTTTGTACATTTTATGCAATTTTTATTTTTATTCGATAATTTACAACGAATTATAATTTACAGTGTTTTTATGATTGGTTGAGTTATGTTTAATTTATACCAGTAAAATATTTTTTCTATAAAGTAAAATTTTAATATTTTTATCTTTCAACTAAAATAAATTATAATATGAAACAGGGAAGTAATTCTCTTATGTACATTTGTAGTAATGAAATTTGATGACTTTCTGTCTCAGTTTCGAATGTATTAATGATTGATTACTTTTGATGTTCATTTAATAAGTATTGTTTGTTTTTTTGTGATAGCATCAAAGAATTTCTTGCCAATATCGGACGCTGCGTTTTTCAGTAGCTTTGAGTCGCGCAACAAGCAAGGATAAAGTTGACGAAACACCAGGATGAAGATTTAGTGAGTAGGAGGAATCTAACATGGCGCAGACATATAATTTTTATTTTCTTTTTTAGTATGTGGACAAGAGGTTTTTAGTTTAGCATTACTTCTGATTTACAAATTTAAGAGATTACATATGCAACATACGAAATCGATTATAGATCCCTTCTAGAAGAGGTGACTTATCTATGGACAGCTTACGCCAATACAGGGGGCTTGTCTTTGTCCGAACCTCTCCTATTTTCTTGATCTCTCGTCTTAATGGTTGTTGCCTTGTCCAGCAAGCAACTTTTGTAGAGTAGGGTTTTGGTTGCGCTTTCTTTTTCCATCTATCTCGGAATGCTGTAATCATATCGTTCGGGGTGATTGTTTAGTATACATCACGATTCTAGTACGTTGTTGTCCTCTTTCGTCGAGGCATGTTCTTAAGAGGGGTTGGAGAATGCAATCTGTGATGATGTTACAAGTATGATCGATCGCTGAGGTTGCTATAAGAATAACGAGCAAGATGCAGAGGCCAAGCACTGTGATAAAACTAAACACATTTTTTTTTCCATCATTTTCTTCCGAGAAACGGGTTGAAGCTCCTTTGTTCAAAAGCCCAACTGATTTAAACAGCTTGATTTTTAGTCATCAAACATGGAATTTAATAGTTTAGGATATTTGATAAAAAGTTTAAGATAAGCCAGGGGTTGATTTGTGTTTGTTGGAAATCGAGATTCAAATCCGATTAGCCTAAGGTTTCTAGTTCAAGTTATCTTGTAATTGAATTTGGTTTAGTACTGTGACTATGCAAGTAAGAACACACGCTGTTTACCCAGTCTCCGTTTCCTACTAACTAGAGAGAATTCGAAACTCTCAAACTTTTCACTATAATCAGTACGATACAACTAGTGAATGATGTCTTGCTACCTTTTGTAGATACTACAAGAACATCTACAAGACGTATACCAGAAAAGATTACCCCAGCGATTGCAATGAAGAGTACTCAACCTCTGAATCCTCAGATTCTGAAAGTTAGCAACCATGAACCGGAGAAAGCACGGCGATCGCAAGAGATCTGATCACTCCAGGATTTCTCTATCTTAATCGGCAACTTTCCCCTTTCTCTGTGTAATCTTTCTCTTTCGTTTTTTTCTCTGTAAGTTTTCGTAATTCCTCCTCTGTAACTCGTATCTCTATATGAAGAAGACGAAGACCCTAACCACTTGTACAGACATAAAACATCATCGTCTTTAGCTTCATTAAGTCTCTCTCTCTCTCTCTCTCATGATCGGACATAGTCAAGGAAGAAGTTTTTGCCTTATTCAAACTAATTGATACACTCTCCAGTTCTTCTTCCCAACATCTTTTTCATCGAAAAAAATCACATTGTGTTCTCCGTCGAAACTCTAGTTTAGAAGTTTATGAAATCAAAACTGATTCCCTTTTTTTCCTTTCTGGTTGTAAGTCCACAATTCTTTCTTCTCCATAAACTATTAGTGTTTCAGAGGTGAACAGAAAGCGAAGAACTCTGTACGTCATTCATGGCTGATGAGAGCACAAAATGACAAAGGAGAGAGAGAGTAATGGAAATGCTTTTCTGTTATTTCTGTAAAGTGTGAGCAACACACGATATATACACTTAGACAGCTCACCGGAACAAACCGGTTATTAAACCAAACTAAAATGTACAACTAAACCGTATACATTGTACCGATAATAAACCAATATTTCCCCCTCAAGATGGAGCATATATGTTAATGAACTCCATCTTGCTCATGAGATGTCGGAAAGGAGAAGGATATAGAGGCTTAGTAAGCATATCGGCAAGTTGGTTTCCTGTCTTGACGTGTAGAGTTCTCACCAGTCCTTTCTTGACCCATTCCCGAACTATATGACAGTCATGCTCCACATGTTTAGTTCTCTCGTGAAAGACAGAATTGTTAGCTATATGTATGGCAGCAGTATTGTCAAAATATAAGGGTGCAGCTTCTCGAGTTTCTATCCAAAGATCCTCCATCATATTTCGAAACCAGATCATCTCCTTAACAGCCTCAGACATTGCTCGATACTCAGACTTAGCGGATGAACTGGAGACAGTATCTTGCTTATTAGATTTCCAAGCAATGAGAGAAGGTCCAACAAAGATACATAAACCAGAAACACTCTGACGAGTATCAGGACATGAACCCCAATCCGCATCAGCAAAAGCAGAGAGTTTAAGATCGGAATTAGCAGTGTAGAAAAGTCCCAAACCGATTGTGCCTTTGAGATAATGCAGAACTTTGTATGCTGCTTGGAGATGTGGAGCTCTAAGAGAAGAAGTAAACTGACAAAGCTTGTGAACAGCAAACTTTACCGTGTGATTACAACAAAACAAATTCGTTTTTTAGGCAATTTAACTGGTCAGAATGTTCAGCTACACTTAGATACATGGGCTACTCTAATATAAAAAAGGTTTCATATGTATAGTTTTACCCATGATTACATGCATCTAATTATCACCAAACCTTTTAGTTTCTCACGTACAAGAAAGAGAGTATAGAGTCAGCACCGTCTTTTCTCCTGTGCAACATCTGCGCTTCACGGTTAGGCCTTCGATTTTTCCATCCATGCAAAGTAATGTATCTTACTTTATTTTGTATGAAAATGGCTCTTAGAGAAATTAGTAACCATATCAAAACTGAAAGTAACCATGAAGAATTGCTGGATAAAATATATTGTGAATATGTATTAATTTCTTTTTCAACCTTAAAATTCAAACACACTTTTTTTTTGCTCCTTCACCTCTGTGGTTTCTTCTCCTCCTCCATCATCTCTCTCATTCGCCTCATGATACGTCTTCTTCATTCCATCGACTCTACTTTTATCATCTCCACCTACCACTATTACTAGCTGTTGTTTTAGCGTCGTCACAGTCTTCTCTTCTACCACCGTCCGTCATCACTTGTATTTTCTTCATCTTCTTGCCACCGTTCTTCCTCTCCTCCATCAACGATACCATAACCCTAAATCAAGTAACGGAGAGCTCTCTGATGCTCCTCCTGCAACCGCCGTAAATTGTCCTTCTCCTGCCTCATCTGTGACCCATGAGCTCATTGTATGGCATGTTGATGACCGCTTGCTATTTGTTTCACCATCTAGTATTTGGGGATTACCTTTGACTTCCAAGAAGCTGTTAATGAGTGAAAACTCAAATACGACTTTGTTTTCAAGGCAAATCGACAACCTTTGTGAAAAGTGGTCAAAAGAAGAGAAGCCGCATTTCACTCCAAGGGTTAAAGGGAGATAGTGCATCAAGCTATTCGCAAGGTTCCCTCTGATTTCACAAGTAGGAGATCGTGACACAGGCCAAATCCTATATTATTAATTTTATATAGAAACTCTATCCAATATAGAGATAGCAAACATTTTTATTTTGATCCAACAAAATAGTAGCAATAGTCATTTTTTGAGTTTGTCGATTCTCGATTAAAAGTTCCCTTTGACCACAGCCTATAGGAACCAGGCTATTTACCGCTTCTAACCCTGTTTGCATAGGCTTGTGCACTAATTTATCTTAGTTGGATAAGATCAATTTGAAAAGGGGATAAGTATTAGTTTCAAATGAATGGGATTCCGTTGAGATCACAAATGTTATGATGAGATTGAAAAGGTAAGTGTTTTTGTTTAGCCAAATGACAGATTCTACAAACTAAAAGTCACTGAAGTATCAACTATCCTGGTTTGGTAAACATAAAAAATGTTCCAGACTGTTGCTACTTAAGATTAGTCTCAGTCACGGAGCATCAAGACTTGGTGAGCCTTTGCAAATACACAAACCGCGTCTTGATCCGCCTAGTTTAGGAGAAGCGAAGTTGTTAGCTGAAGTAGAACTTGACAAGCCCTTCCATAGGCAAATTGCCTTATATGGAAAACAAAGTAATATATTATTGGTAGGTTATGATTATACATGGAATTCGAGTGTATGTGGCAGATGTGGACACATTTCGAGTGTTTGTGGAAGATGTGAACACTTAGGACATAAAGAACATACTTATTCTTATTCTCTCTCTCTTTTTTTTGATCTATCTGGTGTTGTTTATAATAGCAAGCAAAAAGAATCAACAGTATTATCCATGATGGTGTCCATTTGCAATATGCCATACAATTTCTTATAAATATGCAAATTTACTTTATAAATATAAAATGTTGCTGATATACCACTCATTAGGAGTATGGCTATTAGCTCGACACATCGTCGGGACTCGTATTGTTGGAGCTATACATGAAATGGAAACTATACAGTCAAATCTGGATATTCGGTGGCGCGAAATATATTGATGAAGGAGGAAGAGGCTGAAGTCGGTGAACCCATATCACAAAGCTGCAAGCACATGCTTGGAAAGTACATGCACCTAAAAAGATCTTCCATCTTATGTGACAACTAGTAACAGGCTATGTGGCTATTACTAGTATATTAAATTACAGGCATATGAGATGCGATAATCACTATCCACGGTGTGGCGAAGCAGAGGAATCTATTTCACATGCAATCTTTCAGTGTCCACCCGCTTTGCAAGTTTGGGCATTATCATCTACGCCTACCAGTCCTACCTTGTTTCCACTACAGAGCACATACGCGAATATGGACTATCTTTTCTGAAAAAAGTAGTATCATGGAACCGGAATTGGACAGGGATTCTTATCCTTGGCTAATATGGTACATTTGGAAGGCTCGGAATGATAAGCTGTTTAGAGGGATTAATAGAGACCCCTTGGAATTAGCCCGCTATGCGGAGAGCGAGTGCCAAGCCTTGTTTCAAGCTAACGAGCAGATTGCAACGGCATCTCCAGGAAGTATAGATGTAGAAAGCCAGATCATAAGTCTGGGAAATATTTGTATGGTAGATGGCTCTTGGACCTCTACAGCTCAATTTAGTGAATGCGGCTGGGTTTGGAGTGACAATATGGGGAATAGTCAGTTAATGGGTATGCGT